TTTTTTTTTGCTTCCAGATTCTATCTGAAAATAATTCCTTCCACACTTCAAATTGTTAAGTGCATCAAGGCTAGCACTGATGCCCCTTTGCACTCAATCTTGTAGACAAAATCCAAAGAAAGGTTCTGCCTACAATGGGGTAAACTCCACAGCATCTGCACTTCACCTTTCTATTATCTGCACACTTATCACAGACAGATGTACTTTCAGATAACTTAAGAGAAAATTGGACAGTTTTCTGAGTTTTCTGGCAGTTTTCTGAAAACCCTGTTCTAATTCTAGGTCTCCTGAAAAAAAAACCACTTAATTATTCAAACTTATGTCTAAAAGGGTAAAAAAAAAAAAAGCTAACAATTTCCAGAGTTTTTATATCTAATGATACAAATTTTCTTGAGAAAAAACTATGAAATAGATAAGTAGTGCTGAGAGTGACAATATATTTGTATCTCTACTATATCATCCTCTTTTTCCTTTCCAGCTGACTCAGTTTCCTAACTACACACAATGTAAGTAGCATTATACGGAGGTGAACTGGATATTTCATAGTAATGCCTTCTCTCTTTCAAAGAGCAACAAGTGTATTGTGTCTCAGGACAGTTCTTCAGTTGTCTGCACTCAGATAATCCACTACAATGCTGGATTCCCATGCTCTACAGTCCTCTCCTCACTCTCTCTTGTACAGTAAATTTGCTTGAGATTCTACATAAGTAAACCTTGTTTCTGCACCTGCCTGAGACTGAACTACCATCCTTGGTATTCTTTTTGTCACATTTAGATTTGTCTTTGGAGCTACAAACTACTCTCTCAATTGGAATTTTTCCGCCTTTGAATAAAGAAGGAAGTAAGATTCTTACGATTTCCTGTTGCGCAACGTTTTGTTAATCAATGTAAAGTTACACAACTTTCTAAAGCTGTCTGCTAGCTACTAATTTAATATAGAAGGGCTCTAAGTCTTATCATCCACTCAGAACAGGTCTAAAAACACATTTCCACACAGTATCTTTTCCACTTGGCAAGAAGGTATTCCTGCTCCTTTTATTTTCTATGAGATTTGAATTTTCTTTAGTTGAAGAATACTGTGGAAGACAGCACTGTATTTTTTTTTAATTAAGAGGAAAAATGAGTTAACTTACCAGAAATGTTAGAAAAAAATCTCAAGCTTAACACATACAAGGAGAACAAACCTGTCTGGGTAGTCAGTCTCATGCCTAGGACCTTTCAAAACCACAGAGGCTTCCTTGCCTCTAGGCAGCCCTTTCAGTTTGCATATTACACACTTCTGACCTCAGCCTTTACAGCCTGATCATCTCTATTATAAAATTTTTCGCCTGCTAATTTTCCAAGGAAACATCAAAGAAACTTTAAACCCGTCACAAAATACCAAAGTCTACTTCTACAGCAAACATGACTAAACTGATACACATAAAAATATTAAAAGTTAATCCCACTCAGTGATCTATAGGGTGCTATTTCTGCTCACAAAACAGTCGAATCATAACTGTCCTAAGGGCATTAAACTGATGTTTATCCATTCTGGAGAATTTACGTTTGGCTTCTGGGCACTAGTGCTAATACATCCAGATCTACTAACATGAGGGGAATTACAAAAAGAGAATGCTTAAGTGATTGCAACTATGCTATTTTATCTCAAGAATCAGAAGTACAAGAAGCAGGAGAATTACAGAACAGACCCACACTAAAAATTTCAAATTATTAAACAAATTAACCATACCATCCTAGAGCTGTGCTTACTAGTTACCATCCTCCTTGACTGAAAACTGGTCTCGGAAGAGGAGGAAACTGAAAGACACCGAGAACTTAACAGATTCTAGAGACGATAAACCACATCATATCTCCCTGATGCAACCCTGGTCAGAACAAATTTGCTTGGAGTAGCACCAGGCTGCTTTTGCGTTCTTCTAGCTCCCAGTGAAGAGGAACTGGGCTGCTCTTGCAAAGCCTCTTCAGAGTTCACCTCACTGCTGCCAGCCAGGGAAGGAAGGTCTCCATCTCCACTGGGGGCTGCCACCAGTGAGCTAAAGCTGTCTAGTCCAGAGCTCTGGGCTACACTGCCTCCCATGGCCTGCCCATTTCAGATCCTCCACAGAAGATGTTATGCTAACACCAGACACAAAATAGCTATGGCCTGAGCTCTTAAAGAGATGTGCATGGCACACATTCCTAGAGGGCGAGCGATACCAGCATTACCAACACTCTTGACAGCTGAGGTTAAACTTCACCTTAGTCCCCCCAGACCCTTTATCAGGCCAGGGTTCCCCTGCAGCCTGGCAGACATGCTGACAATCCTGCTTACAGGAATTCTCAGGTGCCTGGGCACTGCACCAGGTCCCGCTGTGGTTGGCTGGGCTGTGCTGCTGTGGCTGCCTAGGACCAGACACTTCTGTATGTCTGTCAGAAGAGAGGCAGCAAGGCCAGAGATAAAACCAACACTGATTTTCCTCTACTGTATCACTGGAAAGGCCAGCTGTGGCAATCAAACTCATTTCGTGAGAGTATTGTGCCCAAGAATTAACCAGCATAAATTAGAGATTACATCCAGCCTTTTGTCAGCAAGTTAAGCTCACTGAAAAGCAACCTAGTTTACAGCTGCCATTAAAGCAAATCATCTTCCAGGACAGAAAATCAGGAAGATTTTTCCTTCTAAGAATCAGTTATGCAACAGACTCTGGAGGAAAAACAAACACTGAGGAAAAGGGCCAAAAAGCAAAATTCAAATCACTAATTCAGCCAAATGTCTCTACAGAAATAAAAACTAAATCTCCGTATAAACTGAAGTACATAAGCGAAACTTCATGTAATTGTAAATATGTAATGAGTAGCTTATATTCATGGTAATTAGATAGCCAAGTTCAAAGCCTCAGCAGTGCATAGGAAATTGCAAAAAGGTTTATTTTTAGATACTCAATACTGAAAATTTGTAGAGCACATATCAAAATTCCAACACAAAAGAGGCTCTGCTGCTTTGACACACATGACTTTCTCTCTATGCCTCTGGCTTTGCCAAACCACCTTTTCCCACTGAAGGCCACACAGGTTCTCCTTTCCTCTCCAGCTGCTGTGTTTCCACTTACCTGACTGTGTGTGCAGCTTTTGCTTTACCTACTAAACTGTCCTTATCTTAACCCATGACATTCCTCACTTTTACTCCTCTGATTCTCTCTCCCCAGTCCCCGAGAAGAGAGTGAGTGGTTGTGTGGGGTTTGCTGGTGGCCAGCTGCAGTTAAACCACAACAAAGTGTTAAAACAGTTCACTGACATAGAAAAGTCAGTTCTGATTTCTTTGTTTTTGAGGGTAGTAATCACAGCTGCATGGAGGGAATACGCAAGGTACACTTTTTGTCTTTCAAATTTTAGTTGCTTTTTGGCAGCTGTCCTCTGACTTTCCAGACCTCTGTGCTGTGAGAAAAAGGACTATATGGGAAACATTAAGACCTGAGGCTCTGTAAGACCTCAGGACTGTATAGGGGACATTAAGACCAGCACTCACACTGCAAAGCTAGATGTGCACATACATTTTTTGTTTACCTACATCCACACCACCTCTTCTCCCTCCTCCTACCCTCACCACCACCCTCACCCTCCTACAGGCACTCACACTCCCAGAGGGATGTGCAAATAGGGTCACAATTTGTCTTCTGGCAACTCAGAAAAATTAAGAGAAGTTCAAGAAAAAAAAAAAAGGAACAGACAGGACACTATGAAATCTACAGAGATGAGTAAGATTAAAAATAGGAAGACAAAACCTGAGTCTGAACCTCTGTATGTAACAGAAATTTTATCTTAAGTCTAAAAAAAGCCAGTCCAAACCATCCACTTCGCTATTTTTACTCTCAAATGAAGGACCCTAACAATCCTGCCACAGAAAAGCTTGTCCTCTGCAAACATGTAGCTAGGTAAAATCATAGTCCCAGCTGCTGCCCATATTTCTGTAAAAGGAACGTCACTGTGTCTTTGCTGCATGGCAAACTTAGCAGCAGCAGATACCATGCACGGTCTGGAAGAGATAACAGGCGCATTATCAGGAGCAACCACAAAACTCCTTCTTGTGAAAGCCTTTTTTTTTCTTTCAGCAAGCTCTCCAGACATCCCACCTGAGGTGTGAAAGGCCTGGAAACTGCTCCAGCCACTTCCGCTGTTTCCATTTAAACTATCCACAAAGAAGCGATTAGAATGTTGCAGTGTGCTCTGCATCTTACTAAGAAAAAACTCTATGCTCTCACATGCTGGTATTTATTCTGCATTCAAAAATACTGTTTCAGTGCCTGAGTCAAAATATTTTACTGCACTCACTGCTCCTACACATGCTCCTGGATCTAAGTACAGGACACACAAGCGAGGTCATTTTTGCATGGTAACAGTAGAGCATTAAACATTTCCAATACTCAAACTCCCAGGGCATTCTCCAGTACAGAAAGCATCACAGAATCTACCAAATGCTTTAGGTCTTTGGCTCACTTTCATAAACAAGCCTTTCCTACTTTCCATCCCCACTGCATTCAGCAGAACAAGATTTGCAACAGCACAAATCTCCCTTTCTGAGTAATTTTAATCTGATGTGCTAGTGCCTGAGCGGAGGGCCCTGGATCATGGCCAGGTGTCCTGCTTTCACTCTCTTGGGAGGATGCTGATCTCCTGCAGGTGACTGTGCTGGGCAGACAGGAGCGAGGACATGGGAAGCTGTCTCAATAAGATACGTTAAACCTCACATAGGTTTTAATCCTTCTCTTTTTTGCCTCTCCCTTCTCATTCTGAAGTGAACAGATACCTGCATGGAAAGCACATGACCCACTCACTCTTCATGGAAATGAACTGCAGAAATACTAAATGTGTATGAAAGACAATGTATCTGCAAGAGTTGCACATATTGTGAAATACATCCTGTGCTCATACAGTCTCATTCTCCCAAAAACAGGGTACAGGAATGGTCATGGATACCATGGACACATACTGCTTTCTCCTCTGCTATCTGCATTGCTTACCTTCATTAACAGCATGAGGCTTAATAATGCAACAAGTACAGTTTGTGAATTTGGCACTGCTGACTGGTCCACGACCTCCACTGGAGGGAAAGAACAACTCCAGCTCCTGAAAACAATTGTAATTAAACACATTTTAGATTGATCTAGCACACATCAGCTTTTATCATGAGTAACAACATCTGAAGTATCCATAATCACAGAAGATAAACTTTAGTGAAGATTTTTTTTTTCTACAAATACTACTTTCCTAATATACTATCTCAAATGTATCTTCTCCTCTCTGGCACCATTGCTACAATCATAAAAACAGGATTGGAGTATTTCTTGCAATGTCTTCCTTTTCAGTTCTACAATGCAATCTGTTCACACTCGGAGCACTCAAAATGTGATGCAGCAATAATTTGGTAGAGGTGTTCCCAGTTTTACCAAAGCTCTCTCTTTTTCCTCAGTATCCTTCCAAATCCACTCCCTTACACACATTTTTTATTTTTTATTTTTTTTCAAATCATCTTTTCCACTACATGACCAAAAATACGACTACCATCCATTTCTCAGTATGTTTTCTTTCCATATACAAAATGTAAATTTGGACCTCCTTCCAAATTGTTTACATTTTCTTCCTTTCATCTTAAACAATAAATTTCATCTAAAATTGCTGTGTCACTTCTCAAGCCTTATTAGCCCTATAATTTTTTTTAAAAGTCCTACTGGATTGAAGCTGATGAACTCAATTGCTTCAATTTCTCAGATAAATCAAAGGAACCTTCTTGCCTTCAATCTCTTTCTTCCCACCACCACAATTTAGCCATCAGATACCTTGGGTCTTAGACCATACTGGGGTGAACTTAGCAGTCAGGTTTCTTTCCTTGGTGATATTTTTTCCACTGTTCACAGCTTCACACTTTTTCCATATCATTTATTCACATATGTTACACAATCTGCCAGCCAATCAACAAATGTGCAAAACACAGGTTCCGTTTTTGTACCTATCCATCAAATTCAGTAAGAGAAATGATACATCTCTATTTAAGAGAAAACGTTCCATCCACGAAATACTACTACCAAATGTATTTGATGTTTTCCTGTATAACAGTAGCAATGCTAAAGGCCATTTCCTGCAATTGTCTCCCTTAATTAACTAGCTCAACTTAAATGGAACAGACTCTCATTTAGCTCATGCACTTCAACAATTTCTGTAATATCTTCTTGAAGAATTACACAATTCAAACTTGTTGTGCTTTGGATCTTGGACAATGGATCCTGGACAACGGATCTTTCAAAAGAAGGAAAAAGCGCTTTTGTTTTTCTGCTGGCAAATAATCCACATTTTAAGTGGGTATACCTGAGACAATAGGGTTCATTCCTTACATCCTTCTACTGATAAAAGTCTGCATGATTGAAGGAACTTGTCCCACTCTATTAATTGCTATTTACTCTAAAAGAAGCAGCCAGAAAAAGGCAGTAAAATATGTGTAATAGTTAACACTTAGTTTTATCTATTAAAATTCATAAAAGGAAATTAACTCAATAATGCTGAAGGACTTGCATAATGAAAGGCCAGACTATAATCTTGTGGAGCTTAAAAAAAAAAATAAAATCTTTTTCCTTACCCTTTATTCCTGATCTAAAGAAATTACAAAATTTGGCCTGCAGAGAGACAGCAGCTTAGAGTGTATCAGAAACATACTTTCACTTGTTATTTAGCCATCAAAAGAACAATGCAGCATTCCACTGTAAGTGTTCATCTTACAGTACATTCATTAAATGTGGTTGAGACTTCAGTTTTCTGTCAGGAGAGTTCATTTAGTTCCCTTTATCTTATATTTCCTTCTTTTCAGCAAACTTCTGCAGGCACAGCCAACTAGTTTCCATAGCAACTGCTATACAGCCATATAATACTAGGCCCACTAAATTAATAAAGACACAGGGGCACTAAATTCACAATTTTGTTTGATTTATTAAAGATAGGTATCAATAACACCACAAAGACGCACACACCTACAGATGTTCAGCAAAATAATCCCAGCGTCATAAAAATGCTGCAGATGAACAGGGCCTTCAGACAGCATTTCAAAAATAATGAAATGCAACAAGAACAAACTAAAACCTAAGCACATACTTATGCTTCTAACCAAGAATTTATGCTAATAGATACTCTTTCCTACACTCCCAGTTCAGAAGCTAGAACAGTTGTCATGGTAGTACACAGGAAAAAAGAGAAACTTTCACCTGCGTATTTGAAGACATCTAACTATTTAACCAGAGCTCCAAAGACTTTGCTGACTCTCCTTCACCAGAAAAGACCACCTATCCGAACTCTTTCTGAGTCTGCAACATGTTCATCAAGTCAGCCAACAGAAAACCTTCTTCATGTCCACCATCTGATTTCTTGCCAAAACCCGAAGCACAGAGAGAGGACCCAGCAGTTCAGGCACAGTGCAAGCAGCAAGGTGAGCGCTTGGCCAGCAGAAAACTGCCCGAGCTGTGCAGTCAACCTCACAGCCTAACAGCACCAGAAGGGGAGGCTGCCCAGCTCTGCCCTCAGCACCAGGGTATGATCTCTGGGCACATTTTCTAGCACATATTACTTGGCAGCTCATTAGGTATTCTGAGGCAGGTCTCTCTCCTGCTGTGCTACTGCAGCTGTTCCAATTTAAACAGAGGGAAGACTTGAATCAAGGAAGCAACAACAACTGGTATCTTTTCCCAGCTAAAGTGGTCTGCAGCTGAGACACAACAGCGACACATCAATCAACCATGAGATAAATTTTATTCTTGCCATCATTTATTAGCATATCTATCCCACAACAATGCACACAAAAGTCACCTTAATTCTACAGAAATGGTAATATTTACTACCCAGTCCCAGGGCTTTTTCTTAGCACTGAGAAAAGAAACACAGCAAACAAAGTAAAACAGAACCAAACTCCTCAAAGCCATGTCCACTGTGTTACCTCTCAAAGCACAAAGCACTACAAAGTGGCCTGGTTTTTGATTTTTCATTCTGAACAATAACAGCAAAGTAGGCTACAAGCAGAGCACTAGTGAGAACTGTGAAGGAGAACAGATATGTGAAACACAAGAGGGCACAGAAGAATTTAATTGTTTAATCTCTTTCTTTTTATAACCAACATTGGTAGACTATAGGTAGATTACAAAGACTATGCAATTAACTCACGGTTTGTGATGTACAGGAGACATTAAAAATGACCAGGCATGCTCTCCTGATCAAAGCATCCAAGATACCTTTGTGATAAACAAGATTTCTGTTTTCAGTTTATTTTTCTATGCTAAAAAGGAGCACATGAAGAATATGTAAACTAGTTTTGGACTCAACTGTGGAAACAAAATGAGAAATTCCTAATCTGATTGTTAGCAGATGAAAGTAAAAATAAACCTCAGTCAAGAAAGAGTCAAAAACTTACTTTAGCAGCTGAAGCAACTGAATCTGGGCCATGAGCTGCATCTCTGAGGCCACAATGTCCAAAGCTCTCTGAGATGCTGTCCAGTGTATCACTCTCAGTCGTCGTAGGGTTTGCTGGCCCCACTATTGCCCTCCACTTACTCACTGCATCGTCTCCTAAGAGCTCCATAGCAAGGATGGGGCCACTCATTATTAACTGGAGAAGCTCACTGCAAAATGGAAACAGCACATGGTGATCCATGCTACAAAGTAAAGCCAACAAAAATATGACCCAGTGGAGATGCTCAGAACTCAAACTGGCAAGACCTTGAGCAACCTGGTCTAACTTTGAAGCTGACCCTGCTTTGAGGAAGAGGTCACATTAGATCATGTGCAGACATTCCCTTATTATGGTTGTTGGAAAGAAACAACATGTAGATAACCTAAACTCACTCAAGCTACTCTGAAGAGTCTTAGAGTTCAAAATTAAAGGATCCATACTGGTGTCCTGGTAACAGTGAAAGAGAGACCCTGGTAACCACTTGTCTGACTGGAGTGATTCCTAAGCTTTCCTCTTCTGCACAGCAGCATTTCAAGACTCTCATACATGACCTGGATGTGTATCCCACTGACACAACACCAGCACTGCTTTCAAGCTGAATTTTCCACTGCCCCACAGATCTCTCCCATGGATTTTGCCCAGCTAAAGTTCGAAGTGGGAGAGAAGGGAAGGAGTTGAAAAGTCTACGTGGGATAAAGGATTTACTCACATAGTGAGTTATTACATCTTGGCATCAAGAGATTTTAATGGGATGAATCCAAGTAAGGAGAAGAGGTTGTCAGGAGCAGCCTGTCTCCTGTCCTGACCACCTCACAATAGAAAACAACCACCCAAAACTGGTAACCCAAACATTCCATTTAAAAACCAAACAAAACACCAAAAACTATAATTCGGTATCTTCACAAAGCATGCATACCAATAAGCCTGTCTTTTTCACCGTTTAATCTGGACAGAACCAACAAAGGAAAACACTGAGCCTGGTTTCTGTACTATTTTGTTTAAAAGAAGAGCTTTACACAATTATAATGGTGGATGTGCATGCTTCTCCAGCTACCTTCTTCCTAATGATCACTGGTCAAGAAGAGAAGAGAAATCCTAGTAGTTTTTTGAAAAAGAAACAATGTTAAAACTATGAGAAGTTACACAAAGAACACAATAAAAAGCAATTGGATGTCAGGTTCTATTGGTCAGAGTTTGCTTTTTTAGGACAGTTAAATAGTACGCATACATACATCCAAGAAAAAAAGCAATTTCTACACTATTTACTGTACAGACTAATCCTTGAATATTCTTTTTTAAAAAAAATATTTAATATGAAAACCATTATTTTCCAAACAATAGAATTGTTATTTTTTCCTTACTAGTCACTAGACTTACATTGACTAGTGAACTTGCAAACTAATGAATTTAGAGACTAATGAATTTAAAGACAAGATACAACACCAAATATAAACAAGTCGGAGATTTCACACTTAACTGCCTTGAAGTTTCTTGTTTCTATTTGATTTAGAATGCTCTAGAGCCATTTATTTCTAATTTAGAGAAAAATCCTATACAGAAGAGGTAGCCAATAGGACTGTAGGATGGGAGACATGCACATCACAGTGGCAAAGGCTACAGCTCCTCAGACAATTACCATTAGTATATATAGACATCTGTGAAATAACACTTCAGGCAAAATTCTTGATTATTTATCAATATATTCTAGCAGGCTTACTCAGCAAAGAAAAGGCAATTCCAAATCATGCATTCTCTGACTTCCAACACGGTCAGACACAGCCTGGGGCCATGTCTCTCTGAAGGGCTTTGAGCTCAGACCCACAACAAATCAGCTGCTGTGGATGGAGAGCAGCTGGCAATGCTAATTCTCAAGCACTTTGTGACAGTACTGAAACCAGGTCTTTCACCCACATCAGTGCAAACCCACACACCAACATGGCTGAAAAACACAAGGCACTTCTCCCTAAAAGAGGGAGAATGCACAATGGAGAGGGAGGAAAAGAAAGCTGCTGGCACTTTCAGGGAAAGTAGAAACAACTCAGTCTATGGGTCATAAGCATCCATCTGATCAGTTATGGAAAGACTAAGGCTTCTCACATCAGGTGGAGCAGTCTAGCATCATGCAAGTTTGACAGCTGTCCAAGGGTAGCAGTACAGTAAAAACTACCACACGAACTATCCTTTCAGTTATTTATGATTCGGGATACTTGTTACCAAATCAATTCTTACAACTAAGTGTTCCCCCTAATTCTGCAAGCTCCACTCTGATCCTGAAGATACCCCTTCTCTTGGCTTTGAAGTTTTGTCCTGCTAGGAGCATTTTCACTCCTGAGGGACAAAAGACATTCCCCTGATACCACTGGGTTGTAAAATGTGTGAGTTAAAATCCTGAATAGCTGAAATAAGGATCTCTCCCTGGAGGAAGAAGAAAAGATGCATGCTTTGCAAAGGGCTCCACTCAACTAAGACAAGCTCTGATTTTCACATGGTCCTGTGGCATCAAATATGGTAAATTAATTTCATACATTCAATACACATCAAGCTGAAATTCATATACCTACTGATAAAAAGGTTTTGCTCGATAATCAGCGTAGAAATCAGCTGCTTCTTTTCTGAAAAAGTAAAAAGACAAAGATATAGCTATATATATATATATATATATGTACACATAGATAGATAGATAGATAGACAGATAGATACACACAAACATAAAACCCCCCCTGAAAACCACAATTATCATTCAATCAAATATCATTCATAAACATTTCTACAGGCAATGTCTCCCTAAGCTGGACAACTTGTTGGGTGCTCATGTCCAATAACAGAAACTACATTCGAATTTCATATTTTGTGTGGCTATCAGTACAGCTGACAACTCCTCGTTCTCCTGCTCTGAGAAGGATTTACTAAAGCCCATTTCAGGGTCATTGATGGTCCCCACACTCTCAGGCTGAGAAATAAATGCAGCAGAATCACATTCTTGCTCATTTGCTGTTATGTTGCTTTCATCATTCATCAGTTTGAGTGGGAATACTGGAAAATGAAGTTTGGTTTTAAAGCATAAACAATTTATCTGCTCCACTGGAATACTTCTTTATCAAGGCTGGTGTTTGATTAAACTGCTGCATAACAAAATACTGCATAACCTGATTTCCATTCAGTGCCCTCAAATCTTACAAGTTACATAGGCAGCACAATGCCCTCCATATTAAAACTGGATTTCTTCCACACTTTCACACTTCAAAACTCAATTTGGTGGTGCAGTCTCCTCAGGGAACACAGCAGTGACTACACACTGCTTTCCTCCAAAGCAATGGGGTTTCAGCAATGAGGGGTCTCCTCACACTGCTAAACAATAAAGGCTACTAGGCATACCCAGGGTGTCTGTAGCACAGCTGTTACTCAGCCCTTCCTCAGGAGCTGGAAGCAAAAAGATGTCCTTTTCAGCCAGGGTGGTGGCGCTTCCCAAGCTCTGCATTGCCACAGCCACGCTCCTACCAGCACTGGGCTCGGCTACCCAACTACACAGGTTTTGGGGACAACCACAGTGCAGAGCTACCATCCATCCACCGATGGACACACCATTTTGTGGCTTTTCACCCCACCAGCCCCTACCACCAGCCAACCTACTCTCTTCCCTGTCTTCTTCCCCAGATGCTTCTCATATTTTACTATTGCTTACTGAACTGCTTTTTCTGCATGGTAACAGCTAGAAAAATCCATGGAGTTTTTCAGCTCTAAACCTGCTATTCTGCAGCTTCAGAGTTCCTGTTGAGAACACAGGCTCAGTATTGGCTTTCTCCAAATCCTGGTGTGTGCTACTTTTTGAAGCCAGAATTTGTAGAGAAGGACAAGCTCTTCAAGAGGATTGACAGGTGAAAGAAAGCAATATTGCTAACCTCTACTCTAGGTACAGAGTTCATAATAAAGCAGGGCTGTAGGGTGAAATTCCAAATTGGAAAGTTGTCTTTACTTGCAGCACAGTCTTCTGATTTTTTCTGGTCTTCATGAGTTTGCTTATTTTCAGCAGCTCTCTTTCATGACAGAAATTGCCTGCATATTTTTCAAATAACAGATTCCAAGTATGAACAAAGGCATAGTTCTGTCATCTGAAATGGAACTTTTGACACCTCTCTCCCATTTGCAGTCCAGACTTAAACCAAATATTGCCACAGGAAAGAAATAACATCAAGAGCAACATAAGAAGAATTTAATTTTCTTAACATTTATCAATGTTTGAACAATAACATTTTTCTCCAGCCTTTTTAGCAAAACAACCTGAGTAATTCCTGGTTTGTTACTTGTAGTTCAGTATAAGTATGAGCCATTCAAAATCCAAAATATTTTTATCAACCATACAGTAAATTTGCTTCCATTCCATTTCAAACGAAGGCAGAAGCATGACGTAAAAATTATGCTAGACATGGGAACTCTTGCAATCTCACGCTTCAAGCCTATACTCTGCAAAAGGTTTGCCTACAATTCATTATCACCAGATAATGCTCTTCTGAAATTAATTCACCAAAGAATTTTGGAAAGCAAATATGAAAAAGGTATGTGAAGAGATTAAGTATTACCATTTCTGATTGCAAAGAAGTTTTTGAGAGGTCTGTTTCTGAAACAAATTGAGCTCTACTACTCAGTTAACAATTCCCACTGAAATAAATATCAAAGTGCAGTTGTGTTGTATAACTTGGTTCCTTTTTAATTTCATTATTAGTTCTCTGTTTTCAAATAATGGAAAAGAGTGTTCACCTATGCATAACAGACTGAACAGACACAGGATTAAAGGAAGAGACTGATGAAGCAAGTGCCTGCCCACACTTTCATATCTTGGCTACAACTTTTACAGAAGGCATGAATCTACTTAACAGTGATTGACAGACAAATGTTGTTAATAATCCCTTTAAAGAAGGCAGTAGATGATGATGATGATTTGAACAAGCAAACCTGCAGAAATCTAAGGGTAGAAGATTTTGGCAAAGCCATAGTTCTATCACTTTAAAATGGCACAGTCCCAAGAAACGGAGTAGATAGTATGCAGAGAAACCACAAAACACTCAAGACACTATTTAAATGTATTCAGTATCACAACCCATTCTTGTGCTTATTAATAATTACTTTCAATTATACAAGACAACCAGAAATTTTTATATGGCAGTAGGCAGCAAAAGTTCAAGTCTCCGTTTCTTCTCTTCAGTGTGAGTCAACTCTAAATCATGTGACTTGGCTCAATAGTTTGACTTCTCAGACATCACTCAAATAAAGCATCACCCAAAAGAACACTTCAGGATCAAATCTCTCATATTGCAGGAGAGAGGAAGCAAAAAAAAAGCTAGCCTGAAAGACGTTATGAATTGCAAAGAAACATTAGAAACATGTTTGAACTCATGGAGTTGTTGGGTGGAGGATATGGGACCAGTACCATCAGATATTGCTGCACGTGCATGCAGAGACAAGAGGAGGAAGTCTTATAGTTATTTTATCAGCATTTCAGAAAACCAAAAAGGTTCTGAAATGAAGGAAAATTGTTGCTGACCTCATACATAAACAACAAGAATACATGAAAATGGTATTATGTAAGACAGATAGCTTTTCTTTCCAAAAACATGTTGCATATGAATAGGTTTGGCAAAGCAGCAATGGAGAACTAATGCAGTAACTTTGGCAAAGTCTCCTAAGATAAATTAATTATGTTCTATTTCCTCTAAAGCATGGCTTCTTTTAAATCTTGGGGCTCATTAAGAAGTGGAGAACACTGAAGGTTGGGGGATTAGGAAGATACATGAGTAAAACCTGTCCAACCCTGCACCATCAGAAGATCACTTGCTTTGCCTAGGACTTCCAGCAAATATCTGAGAGCAAAAATTAAGACAACAGATTTACTGAGAGCAAGCAAACCAACTACTTTAAAGATAACATTACTATAATGAGCAATACCATCTGTATGAGGAAGCCTTGAGGTGAGGACATACAGACATGCCAGTAGTAAACACTGCTGGATTGCTAAAGCTGTGGTAGACACCTTGGATTCATACAGACATGACATATTTCACACCCATACTCATTTGCACAGCACTTTTTAATACTTAGCTTAAATCTCTAAATACTTTCAGAAATCTAAAGAACTACGAAACTGGTGACTTTCCTGAGTTACCTCTCTTACTGGAACGGATCTGACACATGGAACAACACAGAATAGCTTTAGAGAATATTCTTAACTGCAAAAATATTCAGATACAATAAGGTTCTTAAAACCTTAAGAATTCCTTACCTTGAAAGCAGCATCATTTTGGCCTTAGTTATTGTCAATCCAGCATTAATAATGATATCAAACAATTCTCCCATCTTACGCATTCCATCAGGTTTAATCAAAGCCAACGTTCTGGGGAGGAAAAAAAATATATTAGAGAGATACAGCCAACATAACTTTCCTTAGAGCATTTGGTGTGCATGTTCGGTCCATAGTCAGACAAAAAAACAGCACATCAAAGGGAAAAATTTTGTCACTGTCACATATTCACTGTCCCAGTGTCTCATCAATTTCCATGTAGTTCTTGAATGCCTGTGCAATCTATTATTCTGATAAGAACAAGCTTTGCACATTTTAATTTCCTTGGCTTTGTAACCCAAGTCTGCTCACAATGTTCCACCAGCAGTTATTATTTACCAACTTCTCCCTTTGCTCTCAGAGCACACAATTTGACCATTTCTTCCTTAGATAACTGGTATCTCAACAGCTCCTCAGTCTGGGTCAGAACACAACTGAATTGTTAATCTCTCCCTATGCTTGCTCAGCTCCCTTTTTCCCTAATGTTAATAATACAAATAAAATGGAAGCTGTTAAAATTTCTGTTAAAAAATATTACTTAAACATGTGCCTCTTCCAAAAGACTCAAAGTTAAATGATTGTTTTATTAATACTTTTAAAATACTTTAAGTCCTCTGTGAGAAGAAGATCCTCTTGTCCTCGGTACAGTATAAAAACTTCATGGTATGGAATGTGCACGCCAAATAGCTGAGACTGTTAATATACACAATAAAAGGATGGAAGAGGAGGTTTTTAATCTCTTATACTGACTGACAGCTATATTCTGTAATCTAAGGGATATCAACCCAAAAATCTCTACACTCTCCCCCACATCTTTGTTACCAAGTACATTCTGTCTTCTAGGTAATTATCTTCTTACACTGTACATCCCCAGGGCCAGGACTGTTTTATTAGTGAGCTTTGCATAGCACCAAGAACACCATCAGCACAAAACATATTATTAATCAAAAATAACAAGCACAAAAAGAAGGTTTGTAAAATTGCATTTTCTATTTGCATTCATCTTGTGGTGAGTCAGCTTCAAATGTGCTTGGCTTACAAACCAACAGATTTATTCAACCCTGCATCTCAGAAATGCCACGTCTCTGACAATCTTAAAGAGCAGCTTCCATCTTTTACACTGTTTCCAATAAAGAAGGCTCTCCAAGATAGAATTTTTTATTGCAGTACTTCCTTGAATGAAAGACAAATAATTGCAAATTTCCTATTTTATATACCAGCACAGCATGGAAAGCAGCCCTCAGGTTAGCAGCAAAATATTCCAGCCAGGGCAAATATGCTGAGATTATAGGAGATGGATGAACCTCCACTACATTTGCTCTGAACCTTAACTGACCTCAGATTGACAGATGCTTTGGCAAGAGACAGACTATTTCACAGCAAACGTAGAGCAAGGGAGGTGTTAGGACCAGGAAATGTAACCAGGAAGATTTGAACATGTGTGACAATTTATCTGCAACTAAGGGAGAGGCGTGGATGACCTTCAGAGCTCCAAAACAAACCAATTTCCTCAAGCACCACAAAGCTCCCATACACAGAGCACCTCAGGCTCAGACCCATTGGGAAGAATGATACAAAAAGACGGATGGATTAAGGCTGCAGCCAGAAACTGCACGGAAGCAGTCAACTAACACTGTGCTTCAGTCCACTGCAGTGCAGGCTAAAGTTGGTTTAACTGCATTTTCAGATCAGGAAGAGCTGACCTCTCACCAGCACTGAACAGCTTGCCAGCATACTCTATGCAGCCTTAGAGCCTGGGCCCCTCTTCCCCAAGGATTTCACAGTTCTTCCTCATTTTAATGTGGTCAAATACTGGAATCATCAGCCCAGGGAAGTGGTGGAGTCACCATCCCTGGATGTGTTTAAAAAAAGACTGGATGTGGCACTTGATGCCATGACCTAGTTGAGGTGTTAGAACATGGGTTGGACTCGATGATCTTAAAGGTTCCTTCCAACCTAGAAATTCTGTGAAATTCTGAGATTTTGTGATATTATTTATCATATCACAGGGTGTACCACGTGAATCGAGGCCCATGAGGAGGAGCAGCTGCATGTTTGACCAATGAGAATCACACACCTGCATGCTGGTACAAGAGGTTCTCAGTACTGTCATTTACCACCAACAATAAAGATCAAACCTCTGGAATGGGATCTCCAGCACCATTTGCATTTCCTCAAGGAACACTTTTTTGAATTTATGTTATTACACAGGTTGTTTGAGACAGACTGGTAATGCTAGAAATAAATTGTCCCTTACTTTTCTAATTTCAAGGGTTTTAGTAATAGTGTAATTCCTACAAATTCGCAAAGAAATATTGCATTATGAAGCAATTGACCTAGAAGACATTAATACAAACTGCAATAACACTGATATTTAAACTTTAACATTTCAGAAGCAAGCAGGATACAAAAAGCAGACTTCAGGACGCTGAGGACTGTTTCTGAGATTGGATTTTGATTCATGTGCCCTATTTTTAGTTTTAATTAGGAATACGTTTCATGGGGTTTGGCATGATGCAGTCTGCAGTGTAGATTTGAAAACAGCTTAGTGTCTAGGAGCCAAGGAGGAAGAAGGAAAATTAAGCTCACTTGCTTACATTTTCAGAGGGACTGTGTGACAGTACTGCAATAAGTACTGAAACAACAGAAAATGAGAACTGATCAAAAGAACAATGCACAACGCATGCTGTGACTATGCTTTTGAGACCTACTTACTTCTAATAATAGGACTGCTGCACGTACAGCAGCTTATGTCTTGAAGGAGAAGAAATGCTGATTATGTCAATGATTAGAAGCATAAGAATAACATATCCCACTCAGAACATAAGTATTTCTGGGTGACACACAAGTTTTCTAACATCATTTTCAACAGCAGTGATACTGACTCTAAGTAATGCCTATTTAAGCAGGACACACTGGCCAGACAAATGTTTACTTCAGGTTACAACCATCTAGGATCGCAAGTGAAAGGCTACAGAAAGAGAAAGCCCTGTTCCCTGCCAGTGATGCCTTACGTGGCACGCTGTAAGTAAGCACATTCTGATCTAACCATTTTAGTCACTGTTTGTGATAGTTTTCTTATGATACACTGGAAGGGAACAGAAATGCAGAACACTTAAACACAACAATACTGAAAAACTGACCCAAGACTTAAGAAAAGTAGAGATAGAAACTGAAATAAAACTGTCTTAATAATTCTAGCTTTATTCTAGAAAGTGCCTGTGCAAATCTAGCCTTTTTCTACGCATCTGTTTTGTATCTCATGTACCTAGGGTCACATTTACTTGTTTTGCTGACAAAAATAAAGGTTCCTGACTCAAAACATTCAAGATTTTTTTAATATTCACTGCACAGTCTCCCTCAAAAGCCTCTGCTGAGCCTGTCTGAGCACACCAGTGCTCAGTGATTGAGTGACCAAAGAATGTATTTCCAATTTCCAAAGTCCAACTGCTCTGCCATAGTCCTGTAAAATACAACAGAAAAAAAAAAAAAAAAAAAAAAGAGAGAAACATTCTGCTTCATACAGCAACCTTCAAATTATTAATATCATTCCAACTGCAGATTATTTTGGGAATTATCATGCACTGCATAAATCTTATGACATCTAATAACTGCTATAAAACCTGCTACGAACAGGCCAAAAAGACAACTCACATGCAACTGTTTTGCTCAAGGAGACTCTTTTATTATCACCCTGTTCACCCAGTGAAAGCTTCTGTGAAGAAAGTGAATTTTGAGGATCCCTTGCCTGAGTAAGGCATCTTTCACTACATTCCTTTGGGCGATTCTGAATATGTAACACCACTTGAATATCTATGTTATCTTTCAGCCAACATTCTTAAAATGTTTTCCAAACAGCTGACATGTCATAAATGCCTTTTCCTCCTTTTGTAGAGCAGTACAAAAATTTGCCTTCTCCTAAGACCAACACAATTACAGTGTTGCCATGTAGACTGCAAGACTTCCTACAATAAAAAAATGTCATTTTATCATTAGCTGCCTTTTCCTGGTATAACTGCAGGAGCAATGCAAGAGAACCAGGCATTATGTTAGTTTAGGCAGAGCAGGAAATACACAACTTTACACTGATATAAAGACCTACCAAATCTTTATAATCTACCCAAAGCTGCACTGAGGAACAGAAAGAGTAGTCACATATACAGAATCCATCCCTTTGTGTTCCTGATCTCCTTTGCTGCTCTTTCACCATGCCCAACCCCAGCTTAGAGAAGTACCAGAACTCCTCTGGATAATGGCAGGCATTTTCACAGCAATTTTTTTTTTGTGCAGTTAAGACAAAGATGTGTGTTAAAACATGCAGCTCTTCCTCTATGTCTGGTTATGTACAACTCTGCAAAAAGGGTTCAGAACAAGCCCATTTACTGGGAAGGAGCAAGAGAGTAAGTGATTAAGGCTCTCTGGAATATCATAACTAAGAAAATGTTCCGTGTTCTTTTCAAAAAGGCTGGAGGAGATTATAAAAGCTATTAATTTGCAAATTCAGAGATCACCTGCACTGCCATTAAACCAGATGTTCATTTCTTGTAAATCTTAGTGTCCTCATATTCTTAGTCCTGATATGTGCTCTCAAATGGCTTCTCGAAGTCTTTTCCAAAGCAAGTCTTTAAATCAAAAACATGAGTCTTATCTTCATCCATTATAAACAAACAAGCCTGTAATTTTTACCAACATTCTTACACTGTACTTTCTGTCCTCATGCACACGGAGCTTAAGAGAAGCTGAAAAAAAATCTCAGAAAAAATCTCCATAGTGAGGAAAAACAACAGAGAATGGGAGTGGTCCTCTAGCACTTTTCATTTATTACTACTAACAGCAAGTAGATCAGATTGGTGAGGCACTAGGCTTCTGCACATATTCCAGAGAGACAGTTGCACCTTTCACAAGGTCCAGGCCTTTCAAGCCCAGCACACATTAGTTACCATATCAATTCTGCCCCAGGAGAATCCACAAATCAAAAGAACCCTACTGTTGCCTGCCCTGGCTGAGTAACAAAGCCGAATAGAACCCATTTTCCTCCTCCCCCTCTTCTCTCCCAAGATACTTAGAGGAGCCAGCAGCTGACACCATAGAGAAGCTGAAGTACCACAAGCACGTACCACTTTGCTTCTCTGCAGTCATGAGAAAATCAGATCCCTTCAAACTGCATGCAAACATGCAGCCATCTCCTTTTCTCCCACATTAGTACAGAAACCTCATTTCTAGCAAACATCTACTTTGAAACCCCAACCACAAGATTCCAAAATCTCCCTTCTCACCTCTCTTCACGGCTCCCAAGCTTGCGAGACGTGTACAGATTCCCATAGTCCACTATGGTGAGGTGCCGGGAGAACACAGTGACTTTGCTGCCCACATAGAGATCCTCGAGGTGCAAGCTCTCATACTTGGTGCGCCTCAGGAACGTGCGACGGTTCTTCACGTCGTACTGCAGCAAAAACAAGATTAAAATCTACCTAAGCAAGAGATTTAGTTGTGGGCAAACTCAACTTAATCTTTACTCTACTGTCAGAAATTTCCATAGTACTGTGGGATTGAATCTGATTACTTAATCAACTTAATTCCAAGCCTTTTGAACTTACAGGTGTACCAAGAAAGCTTAGAAGACTAAACCACAATTACAAATTTATTCCATTTAAATAGTCTCAGGCTAAGAGCTATCTTTGAAAATTTTTGGTTTGTAATTTGCTTGTTCTAATTCAAGCTGTGATAAAAGGTTCAGGTGCCTGGTGAATGCCTCTGCCCAGCCTCACTGAGAGCTCCCCCAGCACATCTGCGCTGTTTTACAAGCCCAGTGGCTCGCACCAGAACGAGCAGGATACACACTGGCAGGTCTGCTCTTCAGGGCATCATTCCAGGGATATTATGCTCTATTTGACTGCATAAGACTTGGCATCAGGGACGGAGAGATGATTGCAACACTTGGCTGAGATGTTCTCACTGCCTAGAGCTGCAAGCCCAAAAGCCTGTCAGGACAATTCAGCTGTATTATCACTCCAAGCCAGACATTACTGTGTACTTTTCTGGGTGGGCTGGCAAAGCACAGAAGTCAACCTGCTGAACAGTTTCTTCCCTGCAAGTAGATATTACACATGCCTTCCAATTCCTGGGGAAGTGGAAGCCTATGAAAGGAAGAGCTTTGTCCTCTTCAGGCCAAACTTCCCCTTCTGTCTCAACCTACAGGTGCTGTCCTCTACTGAAATGGTGTATCCATTAGAACAGCCTTAAAAGAACATCATTCCCACAAATCTGGGAGGGAAAAAAAATTTAAGAGCAAAATTCCATGTTCTGAAAAGTGAGTATACAGTCCTGTTAGAAGGCTAGAAGAATTCTAATTGTTTTCAGGATAGCCAAAACTTTGCAGATTAAAGAACTGCAAATTATTTTGATACTGCCTTCTGCTGAGGTATGATTGTAAGGAAGACTCCTTCCCTCCTGAAATGTCCTTAGCCCCTCATATATGCTCCTACTAAGTGTTCACTATTCAAGCACAGTAGGGAATGAAATGACAACATGGTTTAAAAAAAATCAAAGAAACCAACTTGAATTTGGCTACTTGTTTCACCTGGACTTTGTCAGGAAGCCTATTAGCCTGTCTCAACCTGTCCTGGTTTAGGACAAATTAGGGGAAATCTCCAAAAGGGAGCCTTCAACATCTTGAACAAAAATCTGAGTATTTCCTTGATTATTTCACTAATGGTTGCTAGAAAGGCACCCCAAGGTGCTTCTCTCTTCTCAAAAAGAAGAGGGGATTTACTGGTGTTAAAGGATTCCTCTTTAGAGTAGACTTTTGAATATGTTTAAAAAACCTTTTTATAAACTTAATGATAAGCCACAGCAGAAGAAATACAAAACTGTTTGGACTGTTCCACACCTGCCCGTGCACAAGTAGAAGTAAATTACCCAAAACAAAATAGTTCTCAGATAAGAATCTGTCCTTTTTAAAGATTTCTTATCTCTTTTTAGGAAATCTTTTGTAGAAAGAAACATTATTAAGTCTTTAAGGATTCCCCATGCGAGTTGTGATCTATGGAAAACTTGGAGAACGGGGCCTCTGTCAAGAGATCCAGTTTGACTGAAAGAACTGCTTGCCGTCCTTGGACAAAAATCTATGCTGTCTTCTTACAGCTGCAAAGCAAGCTGGAAACTTCTCTCATTATACCCACTGGCATTCTACTTCACCAAGCAAGATATGAAGGACAGAAAGAAAAGCTAAGCTCAGGACTTCATATAACACAAGCCTTCAAGAGCTCTGCTCCACCTCAGGTGAGGTGTGTGGTAAGGGAGAGCTGTTGTCAGGGATGGGGGGGAAGTGGATGGAACATCCTTCTCATACGTGGGGGAAAGCTGGCTCATAACCACCACCTCCCTTCTCAGATATGTTAGAGGTAAGAGCAGGTTGCCGTCTGCACAGGAAAGTACTAGAAGATGCAGAAGAATAAGGCAGTAATACTGAAAAAAAAAATCACCAAGTTCTGCAGAAATTTTTAAAAAAATCCAGAAAATAATTCTAAATGTAATATCCGTCCACAAACTCATCCCCAAGAGTGATTTTGAGATATTCTTTCTCTAAGGGTGTTCACATACACTTTTGTTCTTCGAATTCCTGTGCTGCCCACGTGCAGTCTATGGCCATGTACACACCACACCACTTTAACCTAAGAGCACACCAACAAAATGCAAAAGTCTGCCAAGACATAGGTACTGCATTAAGAAGCTCAAGAACACCTTAGAAGCTCCTGGTTTTGAGACGTGTAGGTGAAATGAACAACAATTTTGCCAGCCTACACATGGCTGTGTAGGAAGATTATTACAGTTCCTGACTGATCACCTAAACTGTTTCTGGGAAATAAAAATTAGAAACCTCACATTTTAAAAACTGTGCACATACAGACACCATACAAAGAGCTAACTTAGTAATCAGTGCAAAGTGCATCTTCTCACACAGCTGGGTATTATTGCTTCAGTGAGGAGCAGTTTGGGTAAGAAAAAGCCAATTCCTCTAGATTTCTTATTTCTGCAGTTAATTTTTATAGCAGGAAAGTTAAAATTTGATAATGAAATTACTAAGTGTGAATATTTAAATCTAGGCTATTCTTAGACTCTTAATTAAGAATTGGAACAGACTAATCCCTGCCATTTAGTCATTCCTAAAAGGAAGCACAAAGCATTGGTGGGCATGAGGATTATCTTTACAGTACATATTATATTTTTATATACATGCCTGCTACTGCAAAATGCTAGTTTTCACTGCTGTCAATAAGCAATGGGATTAGTTGCATGAATGACAAGTCAGAAAGGTCTGTGCAAGCACCACTGATGAAAAAATTTGGATCTCACTGTCTGAAATGTCCTACCTCTCATTAAACCAAATTTACCATCTCCTCTACTTTGGTAACACTCTTTTATACTTTACTCTTCAGAGACTTCTGGAATTCCTGCTGAAGCTTAGTCTCCTGTTTGGAATTAGCGTCAGCTTACTCTTCTCAAGCAGTAGGCCAGAGTTGCTGAGTTTCAATTCTGAAACCCAAGTAGAGATTGAATGAAAACAGATTTGTGAAAATAATCTCTCCACACCAAAGCAAGCTTTAAGAAAGAAAAAAAAAAACATAAACGCAGAAGCTATTCCATATGCTTCACTTGCTTTTCTTTTCATTTTAGAAACAGAGCAAGACACATTTTAAATTAAATTTTCTTACCTGGAAAATTATTAGGCATAGGCAGTAACTTGCCATTTTATGAACTATTTAATTGGATACTACATTTATGACAACAGATTTTTTTCTTACATCCTTACCATTTCAATTGATGAATCTTTCGGATAATACAGAAGTTCATAACGCCGAAAGAGTGAAGCATTTGGGTCATACCATTCAGCAATGAAAGCATATCTCTCATCTTGACTCTGGAACAGAAAGCATACATAGTCTATACAAAAAAAAATACACAAATAAAAAACTTCCTTCTTTTGTTATCAGAAAAGTAAAAAAAAAATCACTTGTAAATGGACTTGCACACTCTACATATTATCTCCTGCCTACCACAGCTGGTGACATCTTTTCATTTGTTAGCTATCATCTTTTAAATAGAATGGAACTTGGATCATGGCAGTTTTCCAGACAATCTCATAACTTACCCAGATTTTATCAGTCATGAAGCACAGACTGCTGCTGAAGTTGTTGTCAGACTTCCCAACTTAGTCAAAGTATTTGATTTACTTTCTTTCATTAAAAAAAAAGTGTTCACCTACAATTAAATTGCAGACTCTTAACACACCTTCTACATATCTTACAAGGAAACATCTTCCTCTTCCTTAACAGTCATATCTAAATTTCTTTTAATGATGAGATAAATATATTCAAGTTAAGGACAACATTAGTTTAATTCACTACCTAACTTCCTGAAATTTACGTAAAGCATAAATAGCTCGACCTCATTTACAATTCATTTTCTGCCCCTAAGGAGTGCAGATGAGGAAAATGGATTGCAGTAATTCCAGAAGTGTAACTACATTAGTAGCTTCTCTCCATGGTTCATCCTCAGAGGACAACAGCCCCCAGCAAAGCAAGAACAAAGGCAAGGCACAGCACGTGGATGTGCAATTCTCATTCCTCTTAATGGCACACGTTTGTTAGTTATTGATGCAATATCAGTTATTTGATATCTAGAATAGTTAGATTGAGCTCTAAATTTTTAACTCCCACATCTCCTCTAAATCTGACTGCTACTCCTATGGGCAATCACGGTCTTATCACAGACTTCCACACTTTACACATATCTGAACTTTTATACACTTTAAACATTGAGGAACCACTGGTAGTTTAACTTAAAGCCATGTGGGCCTCTTCAGTACTTCAGATTTTAGAAAAGGGCAGCATTTCACTTGTTACAAAGACCACTGAATAAGCAAAAAGACAAGAGTTCTGTAAGCTTCCATGATTATTCTAAAACACCAGCAGGAAAAGAATGATAATTTTCCAGCATCTTCAGCTTACCATTAACTTAGGACTACGTGCTTTTGCAGGTTGAAGTCCTAAGAGAAGCAACAGCAGGAAAGAATGAGATAATGAAGAAAAAATTCAGAATTTTACAATGTGATGAATTAGTACTTCTTAACATCATGTCAAATGCCCCACCATCCTGTCAGCTCTTATGGTACTCCCTACACTGCAAACGAAGTATGACTGTACTGCAGAAACACTTATGCCACAGAGGCAGCACAGTGCCCCGTGAAGGATGCAAACTTTCTATTTCTCTCTGTGCAGAAGGCTGTGCAACACTGGTAACCTTATTAGCATCAGCTACTCCAACTTCTGTATTATCTGCACAGCACACGCTGCAGCCTTTGACAAGATTTAAGCTCATCTTTTACGTGCAGCATCCAGCATGAAAACTCCCTAGGGACTTAGCCTGGTTTCCGGCCCTTGCTTGAGCTGGATGTGTTTGCGTCATTACTGCCACTGCCATCATTCTGGAGAAATGCAAATCAGAACAAACTCTGTCTTATGGCAAAACTCAGTTCTGATTTTTCTATATAGGCATTTCAACTTCAATCTCACACTCATACTACTGGACAACAAGATATTTCACCAATTGATTTGTCTGACCATCACCTTGTCAGGAATGGATTTTATAGACAAGCAATTCTCTGCCAAAGAGTTTGTCTAAAAAGAAAAACAGACCAGTTTCATAGAACCATAGAACGGTCTTGTCATAGTTGAGACAGACAATACAAAGCAACACATTCCATTTTCAAAAGGCTTCAAACCTGTTTTTATTATAGCATGCATGCTTTTTATATCTTCTTACACAACTCCTGAGTTTACACTTTACTTATTGGTCACAAAAGACAAACAAGGTGCATATTGGAATAGGCAGTTGCAGGTTTCTCATATTTATCCTTTTTTCTTTCTTGATTTCTATGTCAATGACCTTGGTAGAAAATTCTTTCAGGGGTAAACACGGATCCGCTTATCAAACTTCTCTCTGGCTCACAGAAGTCGCTGTAAAACCTGTTCCACATGGTCTGGCTTGGAAGGGACCTTAAAAATCCCCCAGTTCCAAACTCCCTGTCACAGCAGGGGCACCTTTCACTACACCAGATTGCTCAAAGCCCCATCCAACCTTGAACACTCCCAGAGATGGGGCATTTCTCAAGTACTACCTCCAGAAAAAGACTCTTGATGGATGAAATAAAATAGATGCACCATCTTTAATCAATGCCTCTTCATAACATGAAGACATATAATTGCATTACTACATGCTACTTTTTCATGTTATAGCATGGTTTTCAACTATATTTTCCAGGTAGCAGTTGCCACAGAAGCTACCAATTTTCATTTAAGTAAAACTTCCAAAATTTGTAAATTATTTGCCTCAGGGAAGTAATGTATTTATGTGAACAACCAAAGAAAGCACCATTAGATTTTTTTTACTTAGTCACCAGTATCAATCATCAGCACCTTCATGTTTACAGTGAGAAACGGCATTGTGTGCCTTGTGTGGTGAGGAATTTTTTCTTTTAACACAACCTTGAATTTAAGTATCTGATTTTCATTAAGAATCTGAAATTAATTTTATAAGATTTTTTACAATAACATTTTGTTCAAAGTCTGAGCTATTCATATTCATTATCAGCAAGCCCTGCTGGCCACTGAATAGCAGAAATCACCGTTCTGTATTATCTTCTTTTGGCACTGTAAGCAAAAGCAAGGTCATAAATGCTACTTAGACTCAAGAAAAACTGCGGAGCTAATCCTCAAACACCCAGAAAATGCTATCAGTAAGCAGGACAGCTTGAATCCATTACTGTTATGTATCCAGAAAATATGGAGACCTAATGTTTTTCTAAAATGACCAAAACAAAGCCTCTAAAGCTTATCTTGAGCCATAAATAGAATTTTCTCTGCTGTATGGACACAGAATTATTGCAATAAATATTTATACATGTAGAGAACAGTATCAGAAAAAAGTTAAAAGCTTATGGGAAACATTCTGACTGGAAACATTATATTTGTGAACATATCAGTTGTTTGAGGGAGACACTGCAAAGTGAAGAAATTCACCATTGAAAGCAAATTGAAGACCCTGCCAAACATGTACCTAAAATAGAGCAGGACTCTGATCTTACTATTGCAGATTCATGCAAATAGTCTTGAAACAGATACAAGACAATATGGAATACAGTCATGATATGGTGAGCTTATTCTGGGAAGCCCTTGCGAGGCATTGCTGTGAAACCGCCACTCTAAGTCATCAAAAATACCAACCAATTTCAAAATGTAAGTTCTTAAAGGTGAGTACATGTTAAGTTCACAATATGCTTTTAAATGAGAACAGAAACTTTTATTTACTTATTTAATTAAGTAGGATTTTGAAGGCAAAAACCAAACACAAAAAACTGTCCACTTCCCATCACATACTGTGAGGATTGCAACAAATGTTTAAGCCTCCATAGGCCTGAAATTCTAATTTCTGAACACTTATTTTCAGTCAGTACACCACTCAGTTAACAGAACTGCTATGGCAAACAACCTTCCTACATACCCCTTCACTAGTGTGTCCTGACTGCAAACTGGGAAGGAGTCTCAAGGATTAGGAAGTACTGTGGGAGGCAAGCTAAGTTCCACTGTTAGCTTCTGTCCACCCTCCTAACAAAGGAAACTCAGAGAAAATAACTCTCCAAAGAAGAGTGATTAGAGAACAGTAGTGACCTGTCAGGGGGTGACATGTTCAATGCACCACACTGCTTCAGACTGAGAGTGAGTCCTGAAAGGGGAATATTTCACAGCTCTTGACCAGAGAGCACCTCATTCCCTCAGGAAATGGGACAGGCATCTTAGTCACCACTGAAATCACACTCCTTGGAACCGCTCAAGTAATAACAAATCAAGTGAATCTATAAGTACATTGTAACTCAGAAAATTCTTGCTTCAAAGAATTAATTTCCATTCATTTCTGTACCATTCCCTCATTAAAATCACACATAGCCTCTGCTCTCATGACTATGCAAATTAACAAGCAATACCTAATAGGGGTAGAAATATTTTTCACAAATGCTCGCATTAGTGGAAAAATTAGTATCACTAAAAAGCCCAGCAGCAATTATGCACTTTACATTTACATACTGATACTTCCAGAACAGCTGTCTTGAGCTTGGCATTTACATCTCCTTTCCATGGTAAATTCTAGAACTGAGCTCAGCAATGTCAAGAGTTCACCTACTGTGATGATGGAAAGAAAAGGTTTTTTCCTCTTCCTTCTATAAGTTGCCCAGAACAACACTTAAATTCTACCTTTTGCTTTTTATTTATATTGGCATGTGTGAATATGCAGTAGGATGGCCCTACAGACATGAGAAACACTTACTGAAGTACAGCTGAAATAAAAATCATAAATTTTGTACTTGCTTCTCAAAGTGATGGGGGAAGCAGTCATTCTTAGCCAGCATGGGACTAAGTTCTAGAAGCTAAATCCAAGCATCCATGAAAGAACTGTGCTCCCAGAAAACTCTGCAGAGGGAAATGGTGTGTTTGGAACCAAACTGCTAAGGACATTCAAAACCAAAAAGCAGAATTCTTAACAAGCTGGACAGGACACAATATCTTGTCCTGTAAACCTTCTAGACTTCCAAAAGGCTTCTGTCCACCAGAAAACAAAAGGACATCTTCCAAAGGTTTTCATGAGAAGCAACACAAGTAAAAGGGCAGCTCAAGGACTAAGGAACTCCCATGGAAAGGTGGAGAAACTTTTCCCCTCTAGTTTGACCTATGAAGAACATAGACCTGGATTTGGTTTTCCAAATGCTTCACCTGACAGCCACACTACTGTACTATTCTGGGGTGACTACTTCTCTCCTCTTCCTCCTCTGGTTTTGACTAGAAATTTCATACTAGAGTTTACCTT